CATGTGACAGGATTGAATCCTTATATATTCTCCTAGGTACTTTTTCTTCTAACTGTCTGTGCCATAAAATTGAAATCTTTGATATGTCTCCCAACACTGCTAATTGTTCCACATGTATGTGGCTCCTTTTCCCCACCAGTGATAGAACATCATATCTTCTCCTTTATTTTTTATTTTTGTTAATCCTTACCTGAAGATGTTTTTCCAGTGATTTTTAGAGAGAGTGGAAGGGAGGAGGAGAAATAGAAAGAAACACTGACATAACAGAGACACCTCCATTGGGTTACTTCCCTCACTCGCCTCGACCGGGATGTGCCCTGACCAGGGATCAAGCCTGCAACTGAGGTGCATGCCTGGACTGGACTCGAATCCAGGACCTTTCCCTCAGTCCAAGTGCCAATTCTCTATCCACTGAGCCAAACCAGCTAGGGCCAAGTCTTATCTTTTGGACCTCACCCAACAACCAGCACTCTGCAGAAAACATGGAAGATATATCCTGGATAGTAAACTGAGAGATCTGGAACTACTGTGTTTTATTTATCACTACTTCCTGGCATCTAACGTAATGCCTGACATACAGAAAATGAAGAGAAAATATTTTTTTAAAGAAGATAAACTCAATTATTATTTAGGACTAATTGAAAATGAAAAGATGGGAAGTAGGAAACGTGAATCTCCAGCAGCATTTATAAGAAATAATCTAAGGGGAGGGAGAAAAGTATTAGCTAAACTAGAATCAGAACTTTGAAAAACTTCTCCTTGAAAATTATGTAAAACAGGGTACTAGGTTCTTTATAATTTATTACTGAGGAGAAAGGGGGCCGAGGACAGTGACTATGTTCTGGATAATTATGGCCCAAATTTTCAAGCTTTGGTGCTCCATCGTGCCCATTCCCAAGGACGGAACGTAAAGCGCCGGTGCACATCTGCTCCCGGGAGAGGGCTGGCCGGCCAAGCAGCACATGCCACACGTCTTGCCCTGTCACCGCAAGGAGGAACAAACTCTCGAGTGAGCTTTCGACCTCCCCCACCTTTAATATCGAGGAACAGACAAATCCTCAGGTTGCGTGTTTGAAAAAGCCAGAGGTGGATAAAAATAATCCAATGACAAATGCTGGAAAAACATACAAAGGGGCAGAAGCCAGACATTCGTGGGATTCCCTGACAGCTCGATCTACAAGGAAGGGCTGGGCTGGAAAAAAACAGGGCCTCAGGTTCCTGCCAAGCCGTCTGAGGCCCCATCCTTCCCAAACCATTCCAAGCAGCAGCCAAGACTTGACAGTAACCCTTCTCGGTCTCACAGAGAAAGATGCACTGTGCAACCACCGAGTGCTCCTCACCTAGAAGTGCTCCTCCCTACGAGGCTGGAAATAATGAGAAGACACCGCTGCATATCGACTTTCAGCTCCCAATAGCTCCCCACGTGCCCGGAAAGTGGACACTTAAAAGGCAGCTGAAAAATCCTACCCATCTCATTGGCTAAATAAAAGCTTATTAAATACCCAGGTATCAGCACTCAGAAACCGAAGGGGTCCCTTTAAGAAAAAAGAGGTCACGACCACTAGTACCTGCATCCCGAGGCCCTATTGTATAACTCTAAATTGGCCCTGCTCGGAGGCACACCTCAGGCTTCTAAACATGTGACTGGATTTGGCCCTGACTACTTTCTCTTCTGGAGAGTGGCCTGCAATTAATCTCACTTATTACCTCTGAAAAGTAACAACAGAGGAATGGCTGGCCAAGTCCAACTCCAGAGTGTCTAGGGAACTGCAAGCTACATGGCCAGGCCTCAGACTGTCTGGGCAAGTCATGGGCTCTCTGCCTTCCTCCCCACAACAAAGCTTGAACAGGGACTCCAGACAGACCAAAGGAACCGAGGGATTTGAGGAGCTGGGCTGAGCTCACGCTGACCCAATGGGAGACGACAGCCCTGAGGCTACGTTTGGGATGGTTTCAGAAAGCGGGGGAAGAACAAGGTTGTCTGGTGAAAACTTGTGTGATCCATAAAATTGAGAACAATAGCAACACCACAGGGAAATGAAAAATAACACTATTTGCAGAGTTCTCGTGAGTCACCAGTTTTCATTCCTGTGGCTACCAAGTCACTGAATCCTGATGAAAAGTACAGCCAGCAATGGATTCTCTTTACATAGGGTTACTGTTTGCAGGACAGCCCCCAGTTCAGTGAATTATCAGAGTTTATCAGCACTGGAATCCGCTGTTGCTATTGTAGAAGAACAAGTAAGAGTGCCTCTTACTTTCTTAGCACCCACTTCTAGGGAGATCAAAGTGCTTTAAGGGCAATCTAAAAGCTCCCGAAACAGGCCAGTTTATATGTAAGTGTGTTTACCTAAAGAAAACATTAAGCGAATAGTATAGGGTCACTTAAGTGTTAAAACCAGTAATAGAACTCAGATCTCTAAGCTACTAATTCCATATTCATGAAACTTTGTCACTCTTACTATCAAGGGAGGAACAACAAGAGGCTAAATAATTACAAAACAGTGACTTACCAAGCAAAATTAGAAATCGGGGCATGGTATGAAGAATGCCTGCTGTAGCCCACTTCACAGCCAGGTCTGGAAGGATCTCTGAGCATTCTCTTAGGGCTGTTTTAGGGTGGGTACCTCTGGGAATTCCCTGGAGCCAGAACTCCCAACCTAGCCTCCAGGCTGTCCTGGCAACCCTCTGGGAGCAGAGGAAGATCTCCAGGGTTACCCTGGATGGGAGTGGGAGCTAAAAACTGGCTCTTAAGCTTGAAGACCAGGTGAAGAGAGGACTGTTGTAGGTACAACTAACCCAACAAGGAAGGGGACTTTGTGAGGGTTGCTTTCTGGCGCCAGTGGCTTTTGCTGATCGTACAATGTGACATTCTGCCACAGCCCAGGAGCAGTCAGGCTGGGCAAAGGCTGTAACAGTGCTGGCCTCTAAATCCTGCCTCCGATCCCGACAGAGCCCTTCTTCGCTCAGTCTCTGCATTGACAGGTGCTACACCAAGAGAAGGCTCTCCTTCTTATTTTAAAAATTCTGCCAAAACCGGTTTGGCTCAGTGGATAGAGCATCAGCCTGCGGACTGAAAGGTCCAGGTTCGATTCTGGTCAAGGGCATGTACCTTGGTTGTGGGCACATCCCCAGTTGGGGGTGTGCACGAGGCAGCTGATCGATGATTCTCTCTCATCAATGTTTCTAACTCTATAGCCCTCTCTCTTCCTCTCTGTAAAAAAAAAAAATCAATATATTAAAAATTTAAAAAAAGTTTTTTCTCATTCCATCTGTAACTAATACTCAAACTCTAGTTCTCCAAAATGTGTAGTTCTGACATTTTGTTTATGGAAAACGGCTGCAGCCTTATCCTATAGATAATATATCTGAGATTGCAGTGGAAATGTTTTCCACAGAAATAAGGCTCTGACTGTAAAATGGAAATGGAATATTTGGAAATATTTTATATGGAAAATAAAATCTATGGTATAAACAGAATTTCTTTTTTACAACCTACGTTTTCAGAATTGTTTACCATTGTAAATCACCAAATGACAGACTCCTCCTGGGAAGAGAACTGTGTGGGAGGATGCCCGGCTTGAAGTCTTGCTGTTCAGTCTTTAACTCTCTGTAATTCTCAATTGAGAAGATTCTTTTCACTCTGACCATTGTGATTACTAGTATAAAATACACTGGACCAGAACATGATGTAATGTGTTTATACTTATGTTGTTTCCTGGACAGAACCTGTTTCCAAAATTAGTTCCTTAAGAAGCAGTTCTAACACCAACATACTTTAACAACAATTAGGTATTTCTGCCAGGCCCAAGTTTTTGGTCTCCCCTCCTAACTTTGTGGCAAGGCAGCATTAAAGAGAAGGCTGGCTGGCCCAGCTGGCTCAATGGTTGAGCACTGATCTATGAACCAGGTCACAGTTCGATTCCCAGTGAGGGTACATGCCTGGGTTGCGGGCTCGATCCCTAGTAGGGGGTGTGCAGGAGGCAGCCAATCAATGATCCTCTCATCATTGATGTTTGTAACTCTTCCTTCTCTGAAATCATAACTCATGGACAGATGAAATCAGACCCTTATTTAATAGCCACTAAAGCAAGATGTACTGGGGGACTTAAAATATCGATTGAGGCTAGAATTCAAGACAGTGATTTCTTTTTTAATTCAGAAGTTGCTTTATGGCCAGAACCTATCTGGATTTTATCCTCCGCTACTTCTCTCAACTATATAAAGAAAAACTCCTTCCTAGTTCCCAAATAAACATTGACCAGGAGGCTATTTTGAGTTTAATTATAGAACCTAAATGAAAAGAATGTCCTTCAGAAGAAAAGAGGTGAAAGCCACTGAAATACAATGGTTTACAAGATATAAAAAAGGTTTGATACCTAGAAATGAAGGAGAGGAAGAGAGAATGTCAAAAGTATTACATGATTTGAGTTATATGTGGAATTAATGAAGAAAATAAATTAATGAGCAAAACAGATTCAGAGACACTGAAACATGCAACACACTGACTTCTTTTAGAAGCTGCGGGGGAGGGCATAACAGGAAGAGATTAAACAAAGAACTTATATATGCATAGCCCATAGCAAACAATAGTGCAGGGAAGACCTGGGGAGGGAGTAGGGCAAGGTGGAATGGGTCAATTGAGGCAAAAAAAAAAAAAAAAAAAAGGTGACATTTATGATACTTTCAACAACAGTTTTTTAAAAAGGCAATATATGAAAATGTCCACAATAGGCAGGGATTAAACACAATATAAATTCCTGCTCTTTCACCAGAAGTGAATTTATGGAACTGTATCAGGTATTTCCTTTTTATTTGCTTTGCTCACAAACTGTCCAACAAGTGAAATGAGGCCCTATATTCAAGTGCCGTAGGACTGGGACAGCTGGGGAAAGGCCCTTTTACCAGTGTCTATCCAGGGAGCTCAGGTGAAACTGGCTTGCTCATAACCCAGGCTATCCCCATGCCACCCAAATGTTAGCTCTGTGGTTCTCACGTACCTGCTTCCAGGAGGAGTGGGGTGGCTCTCAGGAGCTTGGGGGTCTGACTGAATTGACCATGTTGGGACACTAGGACTGATGACAGGCCGAAGGGTGGGGGGAGTTGAAGCACTGCTTCTGTTTATGACACCACTTGTCAAATTCAGGTTTGATACCTAGAAATGAAGTGAGGGAAATAATCTGATTTTACAGGGTTTTAGAAAAGTTTCATTAAAAACACATGGGAAGAATCGAGTCAAAGGCAGGAGATGCTGACTCAATGAAGCTGAAGCTGCTGTGACTAAGGTCCCATCAAAGCTGGCTTCTGCACACATCCCAGAGCAGAAGCGAGGGTGGCTAGTGTCAATGTAAGCATTACTCAGTGATTAGAGCGTTGGCCTGTGCACCAGAGGGTCATGGGTTCCATTCCTGGTCAAGGGCACTTACCTCCTTTGCAGGTCCAATCTCCTGCCCCCTGTTGGGGCAAGTGTAGAAGGTAACCAATTGATGTGCCTCTGTCACATCTATGTTTCTCTCTCTCCTCCCTCTTCCTTTCCACTCTCTCTAAAAAAAAATTTTTTGAAAAAAAAATTAATGGATGACTCTAGATGGTGGGCACACATTGCAATATACAGATCTTGTAACATAGAAAACCACACATGAAACCTACAGGTTCATGTTGACAAATGTCACACCAAACAATTAAATAAAGTAAAAAGAAGGAAAAAAAAATCAATAGAACAAAATATCCTCACTGCTTGGGTGAGGATTTAAAAGAGAAAAAAAGAACCCCCAAAATCCTGATTATATAAGCTCAGGGTTGTAGTTAAAAAAAAAAAATTAACAAGTGTTTATTTTGCTGTTACCATGTGCAAAGCACTATACTGTCCTAGTTGCTGTAAATTACAAAGGTAAATAATAGAAACAGCAAGAATTTATTAAGTATTTACTCTGTAACAAGTCAGGTTCTGAGAAATTAGGCAAACTACGTAGTCTTTCTGGGTCTTGTTTCCTCATTTGTAAGTTCTAAATGCTCAATAAAGTTTAGTTATAAATAATACTTATTATTATAAAATACAAAGAATTCATTGCTTTAGAAAGAAAAAAAGATGCACAGTCACTAGCAAAATAGACATTGACTTCAATAAATAATTTACGAAGAAGAAAACTTATTAGCTAATTAAACATTTAAAACTAGTCATTTCCCCTGGAAATCAAAAGTTGCAAATTATATTACCTCTTTTGTGTGTTATAGTAATAATAAAAAACATGACATCTAATAATGGCAAGGAGTGATATTATACAGGTACCTATACTATTTATGTGACTATACACTGGTATAAATCTTTCTAGAAATAAATATGGCAATATATTATTAAAAATATTATTACAGTGTTTGTACACTTTGATGCTACAATCTAACTTCTGAAAACTATGCTCAAAACAACCACATATGATCAATGACAGTGAATGTTATAATAGCAGTTACTATTTAATGTACCAGCTCTGTATGCTTCTCATTTCAATTGCCATAATTCTGTTGCAAGTACTATTATCATCTCCATTTTACAAAGAAGGAAACTGAGGCCTAGAAAGAAATGGCAGAACTGGGATGTGATCATGATCTTTGGAATTTTGATGTCTGTATTCTCATACTGTATTGTACTGTGAACAGATTTTGAAAGCAAGTACTGATTTTAATATTGTAAAAGGAGATCTAAATGGCTACAGTATTTTACATATATTTTGCCCTAGCAAAATAAGGAAATATTCTGTATCTATTAGAATTTTTTTGAAAAATATTCAAAAATATAGGAAAATGCTGATTTTTTTTTTTACAATATGAAACTGTATAGAGAGCAGATTCAAAGTTCTTAAACATACACATGCACAGATATACACTCATAAAAGACCAGAAATAAAAATTCAATTCGTAAATACATCTATTTCTGAATGGTGACTTATTTTCTTCCTTATACTTACCTATATTTTCCAAGTTTCCTATACTGGCCATGTGATTACTGTTAGTACCCCAAAGAAAACTTTTAAGTCATTATGAGAAATACAGAGGATAGTTTGAGAAGCATTTCAGAATGAGATCCACAGGGTATGATGAAAAGAGAGGGGACACAGTTGAGCATGACACACTATGGAACAGTGACATGAGAAGTATATTTTTAAAAAGTGTTTTTCTATAAGATGTCCTAAGAAGGCAATAATTTTGACATCTTATATAATAAAAGCGCAGACCAGTCACTATGACACACACTGACCACCAGGGGGCAGACGCTCTGACTGGTAGGTTAGCTTGCGCTGAGGTTCAATTCATGCTTCGATGTTTATGGATCTATTTTGTTCATCAGTTTATTTTGTTCATTAGGTTTTAACCACTATTACTCCCATGGCCTGGGGCCACTGAACCTAGAATTTAAAATTTCACCTGTGGACGAGCAACATCTGCACTACCTGAGAGCTCGCTAAAAATGCAGACTCAGTCCAGCCTCTGCCCCAGTGAATAAAAAACTGCATTTGACAAGATCCACGCATAATTCACATGCATCTAAATGTTTGAGAAGTACTTATTGGGGGAAGAGGGAATGCTAGAAAAAAAAGGAGAAAACAGGAAAGAGGAACCACTTAATAGTTCTCCTCCATAAAGCTCAGGGGATCTTCCAAAAGCCGAAGGAAATGCCCTGATGGGGTAAAGAGCAAGACAGAAAACAATCAAGGGGAAGGAGAAAATAATTCTATGAGGGATGTTAAGGTTTTACTATTTCTCAACATTGCTTGTATGCACAAACATTAATATGAGTAACTGTTTAGTATGCCAAAGATACAAAAGTGGATAAGATAATTTAGAACAAACTTCAAAATATTTCAAGTCTGTCTGGTCAAGCTACAGGTTCAATTCCTGGTCAAGGCACATACCTAGGTTGCAGGTTTGATTCCAGGTCAGGGAGCCTATGGGGAGGCAACCGATTGATGTTTCTCTCTCACATCAATGTTTTCTCTCACTCTCTCTCTCTTTAAAAATCAATTAAACATATCTTTGGGTGAGGATTAAAAAATAAATAAATAAAGTCCAAGGTTACTTGTTATGCTGACATGAGAAACAGTGGTAATTAAAAATAAACCAAAACATGTATGCCTAAAAACACTCAGTTTGTTAAGTATTCTTCCACCTCTGCCTTTCTGTAGCTGGGTAGCTGAGTGAATGACGGCCTGTGGGAAAGTCCAGCGACGGGATGCCACCTCGACCCAACGCTCAAGCAGGTGTTCCACCCCTTGCTGTCCTCCTCCGCTTCCTCTGCTGCTCCCACTGCCCTGGAGCGGCTCACCCACAGGTTCTACTCTTGCCCCTTTCTCCATGTCCATTTCCTCAGTGACCTCAGTGCATTTTTTTCTTTTAGGACCAAAACACTGTTTATCTTAGAGCCGGCCTTCCGAATAAGGCAGGTGAGCAAATATCTGAATGTGTGGGGCAGGGACACATTGCATGCATTCCATCTAGACAGGTGTTTAAATTATAGCGGGAATAAATACAGGTGATGGATTGAGAAGAGGATAGGAGAAACAGAGAGGGAGCCAATTTCCGGTGGCTGGCCCGCCCAAGTGTTATTGCTTGTTACTGCTGTTTGCTAAAAGTAGTGCTGCTGCCAGCGCTATAATTAAAATATGATGGTACTGCCCTGATGACTTCCCAGAATATGCCACCACCCACCCAGATGCATAATCTTTTGGTATCTAAAGAGGACCAGGGCCAGGCCTAACCTAGATCACTGTTGCTCTAGTGGGCATGCTCTAGAAATGCTGGGGACCTAAGTGATCAAAACAGTCCAAACCTCAGGTAATTTGATAAATATTCGCTGCATTGCCTATTAGGGGCAAGGCCTTGGGTAAACCTTAGGGGTATATAAAGATTAAACTGTGGCCCCTGCTCCAAAGCCACAGAGAAATTTGTGTTCCCCCAAACAAACAGCAACGTATAATATAAGGCCTCCAGAATATAAGCGCCATAACAAAAGTGCTAAGGAAATTCAAAGGAGGCACCTGAGCTGGGCCTGAAAGCTTCCTTTGGGAGAGAGTAGGAGATGCTGGGGGAGGGAGTGGGGACAGTAGTTCCTAGCTGGCAAGGAAATTCATAAATAACGCAAAGACAAATAAGCTGGAAGATTGTCAGAAACAAAAAGCAGTCTACTAGTAATTTGGCAAAAGCCTAGAGCAGAAGAGAGGATGAGACAGACAAACAGCTTGGGGAGGTCTCTGCATATCACGCTAAAGATCCTGTTCTTTAGCAATTAGACAACAGTAAGCTTGCTCACAGGTTCTGGGAGTAGTGCTCTATCAGAATTGTGGGCAGGCAGGTAGGTCTGGGCTGTTTTTTGTGCAGTGGGTTGAAAGGGGCTATTAAGAAAAGTTCAGATCAGCTGAGAATCACAAGTCTGGCGAGAGGTAATATGTCCTGGGATGCAGGACATATTACTGCTGGTCTCCCCTCGTTTCCCTCCTGGGCTAAGGCAGTGTGCTGGGGCTTGGAGCTGGAGAACGGCGTTTGTAATACGATAAATTCACTCGAGTTCATGTGTTCTCTGTTCACGTTTTCTTTTTGGATCGGCCCCCTTTTGGATCACATTTCCCCCTGCAGCGGGTGCAGGAAGAAGGTGCTGCCTGCCCCTTAAGAAGAGAGGAGGTCAGAGTGGGACTCTGAAGCAGCTTAGTGGTAGGGCCCTCTGAGAGAATGCACCTTTCCTTCGCTGTATCTTTCCATACTTGTCTCCAACAATAAAATAGTTTTGAGGATTAAGATTAGGGAAAGGTCTGGGGGAAGGCATCCCAGGATGACGACTAGATGGCTCCAGTCCTTTAGTCTGGGTCCGAGGCCTGGTGGGCAAAAGAAGGCATTGCATCATATGTCTAAGTCACCAAAAAGCTTGCGATTCCACTCCGGAGTTTAGAACCAAAAATCTGACAGTAATTAAAGAAGGCTTCCACCAGAAGGATCCTCTCTGCATCTTCTCCTCAACCTCAAGATGGTGACTATGGAATCCTGGATTCCAGCCACAGTTCTCTGAATCTGTGTTTAATGACTGTGTGTGCAGTAATGTCCAGCTTCCCCATTAAACCTCAAAACCAAACATACTGACATTTAAGGACGGTAAGGCTTTAGGAGATACTT